TTTGTTTTTTCAATTTCATGAGGTATACATGATTAACATTTCACCCTATAAAATATCTTATTCCGATTACACTTTTGGCGTCTAGATTTTACATTTGACCATTACTTGTGACAACCTTAATGTTAACATCTGTAATAGCTGCATGAGCTAGACTGTGAGCGGGGATCCATCCTTTCCATTGGTTTAGCTTCCCGGGAGTGCGAGGGGAAAGGAGGGACTGCCGACAACACATCAAAAAACGAAATACGCCAACTTTTTGCTCTTGTCAAGTTGGCTCCGCCTTTGCATAAACATTACTTATATCTAATTAAATATATCCAATAGGAACCGTTAATGTCATGTTTATTTTTAAAATCAACAATCATTCTGGAAATTATTTATAGCGTAATTACTCCATATCAGATTTGATTGACAGGCACATCGATTTCGAACAATGGGAATTTTGCGTTGTCTGGGCTACGCGCATTTCGTTTCTTGATGTGTAGTCGGTAGTCCCTTCTTTCTCCTGATCTCGAGGGTCTTCTCGCGGTCGACTATAGTATGAGCAAAATACCTGACTGTTTGCGACCACAAAGCATTCAACTGTTCCGCCTCTCTTTCATCAGAATAGAATGCAACATATGAGGTCAACAAGTCATCCATCTCGTAATCCTGTTGAAAAATAAAGTAGAGCTTTAAGTTGCTGATACAATTTGTAGGCCACACTTGCATTTACTTACTGTCGCACCACAGAATGGCTTGAACACCTGAATAAATGTATCTTTAATTAGGGCCGATTCTTTTTCTTGGGTAATTCATATTAGTTACCATCGCTAGTTTTATCCATTGAAATATACGTGTTACTGAGCTGGAGTTCACAGGTCCAAACCCAGTCAGTGGTGGACTCAAGAAAATTTCTGGAGATTTAACAACTTTCACAAACAGAGGAGTAGAGGACGAATTACCGTGCAAGTATCAAGCTATAATCAAAAACAACAAAGATGAAATTCTTGACTTTAGAGTTGGAGCAAAAATCGAAGTGTACTTTTCTTCCCTAATACTTGCTCAAGTATATAAACCTATATCAGGAAGATATGTATCACAATCACTAACGGCATGATTTACACCTTGCCGTTATAGCTAGACTTCACTATATCTTCTTATTCGTGATATAATTAATGAGAATATCACGAATATGTTAATGTGACATTAATAGCGATAACGAGGCTCAAAAGCATTGGTCTCCTATATTTGTCACAGGGATTCCTGATAAGGAAGCTCAGCTAACACCTGCTAATGCTTTAATTAATGGGTAGCTTTTAAGCAATCTTTCTATCCTTATACCAACCGTCTGAAAATTTAACGTCCCTTACCACATGAGTCTTAAAAACAATTCTTTTTCCATCAGATGTACCACCAATACTAACTTCAAATGTCTCATCTCCACTTCGCCAGTGTGAAATCAGCGCGTATGAGTAATTTTTCAGCAATTTATTGATTAGTAATCAAACAGATCAGTTAGTAATCGATTACAACTGCTTCAACTCTGTGCTTGTCACTTTGCTTTGTGCTGGTAATGCAACTGTTACCGCACCAATTCATCAAAACAAGCAATTTTTAGTTATGCTTATACACGGTTCAACTTACTTTGGTGTCCCGGTTAATAATATTAATTCCATGTTTGTTAATCGCAACGTAGACAACTGGTGGATATTCTTGACTAATTTCTTGCTACAATTTTCAGAAGAAAGCACAAGAGCAAACGTAAGTTTCACTCAAATTGACAACGTTTTCAACTCAACAGGTTGGCTACTACATAAAAGACCTAAAATTTGCATTATGTTGCAAAATAATGCAAAATTTGGGTAAAATTTAAGGGAAAATTCAAGGTAAAATTTTGACTTTTTCCGGAAACATTTTGACATTTTCCGGGAAAATTTGAGCAATAAAGTCATTATAATTGTTGGGGTGATAGAAAAAATAAAAAGATGTTTATAGTTACTTATAATAAAATGATCCCCTTACGTGCCTCGTCATATCCGATATTTTGTCAATCTTGTTCCGCGAGCCTGCGATCCTTGGGAAGGAACGCGAGGCTCTGGAGTAATCTGTTTCAGGGAAGAATCTGATTAGTCGTTGAAATGGAATGCGCAGTTCAGTCTTAGCCAGGATTCCTGGCTTCCAGCAACGGATTTTCCCAGAGCCTCACATTCCTTCCCGAGGATTGCGGGCTTGGGGAACGAGATTAATATTTTGTGTCAAAGTATAAAAATTTCATGCAAACAATATTCGAAGAGTCTATTTAGTAAACTGTCACTTGTCAATCCATACCCATTTTCAAAACTTTATTGTAATCAGCAGAAGTTCTGTCACATGTTGTTTACACTTGCCAACGTTAAGTGTTGAGTAACATACACAAATAAAAACGCTCAACAGAAATTGAAGCTATGGATGCGAGTGAAGCACTACCAAAAGACAAAACAAAAATTCAAAAAATGAATCCAAACAAGTAATGATGATTTTGTGGAGAAAATACGGAACAAATAAACACATCAATAAATCAGAAACTGATAGATTGATAACAAGGTATGTTCCTGGTTTTCCGAAGCATTGTAAAGGATCCTTGATAAAGGCAACGAGAAGTAACACGTTTGAAACTGCTCCCATAAAAGCTATTATAAAAGACGGTAACTTGCTATACTTGAATTCCATTCTAGTAATATTGTTCTCTGTTATGATTTTGCAATAAAGGGTGCAGAAGTTAATATCAAGTAAAAATTTGATAAAACTATGATAAAAATTTTAATTAACATTTTGGTTTATAAACTCATAAATTTATAATTTAGAATATTAAAAATATTTGATTAAACTTGACTCATCATCGACGAGATTACTAATGTTTATTATGTAATGACTTTCGATTACTTTTGATTTATTATGTAATGACTTTCGACCTTACGAGGTCTAAAACCAGTTACAACTTACATTTACAATATGCATGAAAAATAGTCGTCTACTGGATCTAAAACAAAGAATAATTATACGGAATGACCAATTTTGTTAGAATAAATCTCGCCAACGCACTCTTTCGATAATTACGTCATGACAGGTCGTGTTAAAGCTTACTCCCGCATTTATTTGTCAAAATAAACAATTATTTTTCATGCATGTGTTGAAGAAGGATGTTCTGCTTCTATGCGCATACCCATGGAAAAAAACAACTTGAAATCCTTAATATCCATTTAAGGTGCTTCTAAGTTGAAATCCGAATAGTTGTGACGTAATTATCGAAAGAGTATATTGAATACACGAGACTGTATATACTCATTAAAATATACTCATTTAGATAATTAAAAAATCTGTTTGCACCGGAAGCAAACGAAAAAACATAATTGGTTTTACCATAAAATGTAAACTACACTATTAAGCCTGGCGCACACGATGCGATTTTAGTCGGCCGATAAAAATCGTTTGACATACCGATATACATCGGTATACTCCGCACACGATTACGAAAAAAATATGCTCCCTTAACTGTAGCCGCCATGTTGCCAAATAAATACAAGCACATGATCACAGCATGAAATCTGATTGGTTATACTTAAATTTCCACCGATAAAAATCGTATAATATCAAAACGTTTTTATGTTGTCCGATTAAAATCGAGCAACAAAAATAGGTTAAAAATGACACCGCACACACAACGATTTTGTTAGTTTTAGTCAAACGATTTTTATCGGCCGAATAAAATCGCATCGTGTGCGCCAGGCGTTAGTAATAGGGCTTGGAGCAAACTATATATAAACTATTGGGCTACCGGAGCAAAACCCGTTACTATACTGTATTACGACTCGTAGTTATAAGAACTTCAATCTAGATGCTTTTTGTGATGATGTCTCATGCAAACGTCCCTTGGGACGCTCCGTCACGCTTTTTGACCACTCTGACGATCAGTTCTCTTGTTTCAATAATCTCTTCTCAGATGTTCTAGAACAACATGCACCTGTAAAAACGTTTAAATCTGAATATCACAAATCCAAAATGAAAACTCCTTAGATCAGATATTTGATGCACGAACGTGACAGATTACAGATTAAACTTGCACATCAAACATCTAATTCTTGTGACGGGGGTGCTTCTATAGGCCTGCGACGAGAGGTAAAATTAACGATAAAGCTGTCAGAAATCCAGTTAGTCAAAAATGAAATCACCGAGAACAAGAGTAACAAAGCATCTATTTGGAAGACTGTCCTTCACTGCTTTATTCTATGCAGTGGTTCAACTCCTGCATATTCACGTGACTGTACAGAGATCGCTAACGAATTCAATCATTTCTTTACTTTTGTTGGTAAAAATGCTGCTAGGTAAACGCAACAACTATCATTAGACCACAACCAAACACCAACCTCACAGGATTAGTGGTGTACCGATTTCGTTTGATTGCGTTACACAGGAACAAGTAATAGAAAGACCATCATGAGCATGCCGACAAGTAAGGCTCCAGGATATTATAACGTTAGCATGAGAGTTATCAAGGTGTAGCTGGCAAGGCGCCTTCTGCGTTTTTCCGTGTCAAAAATATCTCCGAGGCTGAGCCAACACTCATTTGATTTAGTAACAACCTTTTATTGTCAATATAAACGAAATATGACCTTGAAATATCACAAAATACAGTCTCAAAAGGTAAAACCTCGGTAGCCTCGCGGCCGCCATGCCAGAACGATCCCTGCGCATGCGCCACGGAACACAGGAAACCCTAAAACAGTAACATGGCTCCCCAGAAATGTTCCACTACAATAACATTTTTATCAACATAATATGGACTGCAATAATTAATAACATTCATGCTGCTTGCCATGATTTCATCGGCTTTAGCATTCGAGAGCGTTCAATTGATCAATATAAATCTCTGTACCGAACATTCAGGCTCCTCGTTGGCGAATCCCAGTCTACTGTGACTCTAAGAGCAGAACAAGCTTATTAATTGGTCTTTCGAGCATAGATCCATTCGACGTCAGTACCGTAACCGATCTAACTTGGCCTTGATGATCTGGATAAGCACGTACAACTTTAGCCAGTGGCCATTTATTTCTTGGATATTGAACTTCTCGCAGCAAGACAACATCTCCCGTCGTAACATTCCTCTTTGGTTGCGTCCACTTGTATCTCGATTGCAGTTGCTGCAAGTATTCCTTGCTCCATCTTTGCCAAAACTCTTGCACTAAATGCTGTTCTCCATTTCTTCTTGCAATACATGTCTTCTCCCTTGAATTCTCCCGGCGGGTGCAATACAAGCTTCGTCTTTCCTGTAAGAAGCATGCTTGGAGATAATGGTGGTTCAGAAAGGGGATCGTTGAGGGTTTCTACTGTCAAAGGTCTGCTATTGACTGTGGCTTCTGCTTCACATAAGAATGTTCTCAAGATTTCTTCGTCCATTTGAGTCCCGCGTTACTTCATAAGCGCATTCATGACGTTCCTGATTGACCGAATTTGTCTTTCCCACACGCCTCCAAAGTTGCTCGCGGAGCCTGGATTCTTAATCCAATCGATATTGTCTTTCAGTAGCTCTGTCTTCACCTTTTCGCCATCAATCTCCTCGATTGCTCTTTTGAGCTCGTTTTCCGCACCGATGAAGTTCGTTCCTCTGTCAAAGCGAATTTCTCGGACTGGGCCTCTTCTATAAATGAACTTCCTTAGCGCTTGGATAAACGAATCCGTCTCCATAGTGTCAGCGTCTTCAATATGGATTGCACGACTTGCCAGATAGGTGGATGATCATGATGCTCCGTATCTCTTTACCATTGATCTTCATCGTTTTACATGGCAAATGGCTCGTCTGGCGACAACGTGGTCGACGAAGACGAAGTCGAAGAAAATCTAGAGAGAGCATTACTCGGTGAGCCACACGAGCCAAGCTCTGCGGATATGTATCTTCTTCTGCAAGAGATGCACACCGATATGCGGAGTTTTCAATCTTGTCTTGATCGAGTAGAGCAAGGCCAGAGCAAGGACTACATCGAGGACAACAACGAGGTCGTTCATGACACGGATTTGGCGCCAAAACATGGCGGCCACAAGCGGAAGCTTAGTGAGGATGAGGATGACGAATCGGTTTTACTAAATAAAGTGTTGTCAAACTCAGCTGACCCAGCTGAAAAACCAGCAGAGAATATACCTGGAGATACAGACAGCTTGCTGTCAGATATTGCCCAAGATTTATCCGAACAAGAACCTACGGGTCCTGCAGTGAATGAAGATTTGGCAGCCATGCTTAACAAGCGATGGGTTACAAAAATGTCAGGTAAAAAGCTATCCGACAAACTAGAGTTAATTCAACGTCCTGAAAATTGCTCAGGTCTGATTGGTCCTCGAGTTAGTTCAGAAATTTGGCCAAACCTTGACAGGTTTAATAATTGCAGGCATCTGCAAACTGGTAATGTTCAGAAGAACATGGCAAAAGCAGGGAGCTCCTTAATTTATACCACCAATAAGCTCCTCCACTCACGGAAAAAATGGCAATCAGGTGGACCCCACGAAAATCGTCAAATCCAATATGGAAATTATGGCAATTCTGGGACATGCCTTTGTTGATTTGTCACATCATCGTAGAGAAGCTATCAAACCAAATCTTAATAAAGAGTTTGCTGCTCTATTTTCAGAGCAGGTACCAGTCACTGCACACCTATTTGGTGACGATTTGCAAACTGAGTGCAATAATATTAAGACTACAAATAAACTTCGCCAGTCGGCCCTGGCCAATAAAGGTCGGGATAATTTTGACAGAAGGCGACCTATGCAGCCATCATGCCCCTTCAGCGAGTATCCACGGAGGCCTTTTTTATCCAAAAAGAAACCATGGCAGAACAACAAGCCATGGTTTCCCAAACCATTCTCACAAAAGCAACGCCAGTAAGATCAAGAGCTGCACAAAATGGACGAAACTCAATTGTTATGGTAAGTTTTCATAAAAATTATGTTGCTACTTTAATAAAGGACTTACACCAAAAAGTTAATTGTTTTGAAGCTGGGAGAATTTCTCAGTGTATTGACGAATGGAGAAAGATTACATCTGTCCCAGAAATTTTAGATATGGTCAATGGTTATACCATTTAATTAATAGAGGGACACCCTCCTCATAATAATCGGTTAAAATATGAATTTAGTTCGTTTGATAAAGAGGTTATTGAGCTTGAAATATCTAAGCCATCATGCCATGAAAAGCGCGAGGTTATATCACCAATTTTTGAGTGCCACAAAAAAGTAATTTAAATTTAAAGGGTCTTAACACTTATGTGGAATATCATCATTTCAAAATGGATACTTTGTGGTCAGTCATTAAATTAATGACACCAAACTGCTTTATGGCATCTGTAGACCTAAAGGATGCCTATTACTCAGTACCGGTATCACCGGCCAGTCAGAAATTATTGACATTTATTCGGCAGAGACAATTGTACCAATACACTTGCCTCCCCAATGGCCTTTCTAGCTGTCCTCGAAAGTTTACAAAGCTACTTAAACCTGTTTATACAGTTTTGCGGAAAAGAAGTCATGTTTCTCCAGGCTATATCGATGATGCCTACTTGCAGGGCGATACAAATGATGATTGTGCTTGTAATGTGGTGGATACAGTTGACCTGTTCTCCACCCTGGGGTTGGTTATACACCCAGATAAATCTGTGTTTGAACAAACACAAATTTTAGAGTTTGGGGGTTCCTACCCAACCCTATTCTTATGAGAATAACTCTAATATTACAGAAAGTAGAAAAAATTATAAGGGCATGTACCTTACTTCTAAACAAAAGCAGTAGGGTTTCTATTCGCGAGGTTTCTCGTGTAATTGGGCTTTTGGTATCCAGTTTTCCTGGAGTTATGTTTGGCCCTTTGTATTATAGGGCGTTGGAACATGATAAGATCATAGCCCTTAAATTATGTAGAGGTAATTACGATAGTTATATGAGGTTATCACCTGGTGCTACTGAAGACCTTCACTGGTGGATAGCATCACTCCCTACTGCCGACAATGAGGTCAGTCATGCATCACCAGATATTGTGATAAATACAGATGCTTCTTTGTCAGGTTGGGGGGGGGGGGAGTGTTGAATGACCTCACTTGTGGAAGTCACTGGTCTCTAGTAGAACAGACTTTTCATATAAATTATTTAGAATTGCTTGCTGTTCTCTATGTATTGCAATCCTTTCAGGCCCATTTGGAGCATGAACATGCAAGGGCTCTTATTTATAATACCACAGCTGTAGCTTGTATTACACATATGAGTACTAGCCACTCTGATTTATGCAATGAAATTAATAATACCACTTGGGAATGGTGTATTGCTAAGCATATTTGGATATCAACTGCCCATATACCCGGCATTGAAAACGTCGCAGCTGAGAAAGAGTCACGTAAATTACGTGATGAAATTAACTGAGTGGATGCTTAACCGCCAAATCTTCAATAGAGTACTTGAGATTCTGCACTTAACACCAGATATTGATTTATTTGCCTCAGGGCTTAACCACCAAGTTGAAAGATATGTCTCATATCAACCAGACCCTCAGGCGGTTGCTGTAGATGCCTCTTTATTTAATTGGAAAGACTATGATGTATTCTATATCTTTCCACCTTTTAGTTTAATCACTCAAGTACTTCAAAAAATCCAGAGCCAACAGGCAACCGGTTTATTGATTTTTCGGATTGGCCAACCCAAATTTGGTATCCCAATTTAATGCGAATGTTGATCAATTATCCACTGTTGATACCCCCACAAGAAAAGTTGCTTCTTCTCCCTTACAACCCAGCGAAGGTAGATCAACTTCACCAAACAATGTGGCTGTTGGCATGTCATTTGTCAGGAGATGTCTCAAAGACGAAGGTATTCCAGAGTCAGCTTCCAACTATATCCTCAATTCATGGAGAACATCTACGCAAAAGCAGTATAGCACCTACCTCAGACAATGGGAGGTTTTCGTGATACACGAGGGATTAATCCAATTTCACCTCCTCTCGAAATTGCCTTAGAATTTTTAGCACGACTGGCAGATCGCGGTCTTGGTTACAGTGTAGTTAACACCGCTCGCAGTGCCCTATCAGCGGTACTGGTATTACCTAATGCAACTGTTTTTGGACAACATCCTCATGTTAAAAGGCTATTGAAGGGTGTATTTGAAACTAAACCAGCTCTTCCTCGCTATATCTATATTTGGGACGTTGAAATTGTGCTCAAGAGGCTGTATCCGTAAAAACTTCCAGGTCAATATGGGGCTCAAAAATAGATTTCTCTCATACTCTAGTATTTTGAAGATCTATCCTTGGGAACAACTAAAATCGATGTCATTTTACTCAAATTTCCTTTAACTTATTTTTGGGGGCGATTGATGTTCGATCGACTTATAACCAACTTGATACTCCGAATGAAGACCAAATATCGACATATTTTCAGCGCTATTTTTTAAATCAAATTCATACCTAAATTTCAAAATTTTTGCTCAGAAATAGACTTATCCTTCTATTTTCGCGGGTGATATTACTTAGATCATTATTCTTTGGTATAAAATAGAAAACAGCGCAGTTATTGACCCTCCTAAACGGATAAAGGATATCGTCTCAAAATATATCAAATTCGAAAGCTTATTTCAAAATCGTGGCACTTGATTGGCACGTGACTTTAACTTTTCTATAAACTACTAACATTAGTCAACACAAATCGCCAATAATATCTTTCTGATCTACCATTTGACAAAAATGACAAGCGCGCAAACTTTGTAAAATTTGAAAATGTGTCAAAATCGAGCATACTTTATCGGTAAACATAATTATTGATATTAACAGATAAAATCACCTTAGGACAAGGTACCTGGCGATGAGGACAAGGTACCTGGCGATGAGAACAAGGTGCTGGCGGTGTCGACAAGGTTCCTGTCGGTGAGGACAAGGTTCTTAACAGTGAGGACAAGGTTACTGGTGGTGAGGACAAGGTACCAGGGGGTGAGGACAAGGTTCCTCCTGGTGATCACAAGGTTCCTACCGGTGAGGACAAAGTTACGGTCGGTGAGCACAAGGTTCCCGCCGGTGAGGACGAAGTTACTGGCGGTGAGGACAAAGTTCCTGGTGGTGAGAATAAGGTTCCTGGCGGTGTGCACAATGTTTCTGCCGGTGAGGGCGAAGTTACTGGCGGTGAGGACAAGGTACCTGGCAGTGAAGACAAGGTTCGTTCCGGTGAGGACAAGGTTGCTGCCCGATTAGGACAACGTTCCTCCGGTGAGGACAATGTTACTGGCGGAAAGGACCAGGTAACCGCCGGTAAGGACAAGCTTACTGGCGATGAAGAAAAGTTTCCTGGCAGTGAGGACAAGGTTCCAGGGGATTAAAAAAAGTTTCCTGGCGGTGAGTACAAGGTTCCTGGCGGCGAGGACAAGGACTCTGGGAGGAGGACAAGGTAATTTCCGGTGACGACAAAGGTTCCAGGAGGTGAGGATAAGGTTACTGGCGGTGAGAACAAGGTTCCTGGCGGTGAGGACAAGGTTCCTGGCGGTCAGGACAAGGTTCCTGGCGGTCAGGACAAGGTTCCTGGCGGTGAGGACAAGGTTATTTCCGGTGACGACAAGGTTCCAGGCGCTGAGGACAAGGTTACTGGCGGCGAGAACAAGGTTCCTGGCGGTGAGGACGAGGTTCCTGGCGGTGAGGTCAAATTAGTGGCGGTGAGGAGAAGGTACCTCGCGGTGAGGAAAAGGTGTACACCGGTGAGGACAGGTTCCTACCGGCGAGGACAAGGCTACTGGCGGTGAGGACAGGGTACTGGCGGTAAGGACAAGGTTCCTGGCGGTGAGGACAAGGTTCCTGGCGGTGAGGACAAGCTTCCTCTCGGTGAGGACAAGGTTCCTGCCGGCGATGACAAGGTTACTGACGGTGAGGACAAGGTTGCTGGCGGTGAGGACAAGGTTCCTGGCGGAGAGGACAAGGTTCCTGGCGTGAGAGCAAGGTTACTGGCGGTGAGGACAATGTTTCTCGGGGTGAGGACAAGTTTCTTGGCGGTGAGGACAAGGTTACTGGCGTGAGAGCAAGGTTACTGGCGGTGAGGACAATGTTCCTCGGGGTAAGGACAAGTTTCTTGGCGGTGAGGACAAGGTTACTGGCGGTGAGGTCAAGTTACTGGCGATGAGGACAAGGTACCTGGTGGTGAGGAAAAGGTTCCTACCGGTGAGGACAAGGTTCCTACCGGCGAGGACAAGGTAACTGGCTGTGAGGACAGGATTGCCGCAGATGGGAACAAGGTTTCTGACGGAGAAAAGATTCCTGGCGGTGAGGAAAAGGTTCCTGGCGGTGAGCCCAAGGTTTCTGCCGGTTAGCACAAGGTACGTGTAGGTGAGAACAAGGTAACTGGTGGTGAGGAAAAAATTCCTACCGGTGAGGACAAGTTTCCAAGCGGTGAGGGTAAGGTTCGTGCCGGTGAGGACAATGTAACTATTGGTGAGGACAAGGTTACTGGAGGTGAGGAAAAGGTTCCTGTCGTTGGGAACAAGGTTCCCGCAGGTGAGGACAAGGTTACTGGCGGTGGCAACAAGGTTCCTGCTGTTGGGGACAAGGTTCCTTGCGGTGAGGACAAGGTTACTGGCGGTGAGGATAAGGTTCCTGCCGGTGAGGACAAGCTAACTAGTCGTGAGGACAAGGTTACTGGCGGTGAGGACAGGTACCAGGAGGTAAGGACAACGTTCCTACCGGTCAGGACAAGGTTCCTAACGGTAAGGACAAGGTTCCTGGCGGTGAGGACAAGGTTACAGGCGGTGGGAACATGGTACCTGGCGGTGAGGAAAAGGTTCCTAACGGTGATGACAAGGTTTCTACTGCTAAGAACAAGGTTACAGGCGGTGGGGCCAAGGTTTCTTCCGGTTAGCACAAGGTACCTGGCGGTGAGAACAAGGTATCTGGCGGTAAGAACAAGCTTCCTACCGGTGAGGACAAGTTTACAGGCGCCGAGGATAAGGTTCCTGCCGGTGAGGAAAAGGTAACTAGTGGTGAGGACAAGGTTACTGCTGGTAAGGACAAGGTACTGGCGGTGAGGACAACGTTCCTACCAGTGAAGACAAGGTTCCTACCGGTCCGGACAAGGTTGCTGGCGGTGAGGACAAGGTTCGTGGCGCTGGGGAGACGGTTCCCGCCGGTGAGGACAAGGCTACTGGAGGTGAGGACAACGTTCCTGACGTTGGGGACAAGGTTTCCGGCAGTGACGAGTAGGTTCCGTCCGTTGAGGACAAGGTTACTGGCGAAGAGGACAAGGTATCTACCGGTGAGGACGATGCTCCTACAGGTGAGGACATCCTGACGATGAGGCCAAGGTTCCTGGCGGTGCGGCCGAGCTTCCTGCCGGTTAGGACAAGGTACCTTGTGGTCAGGACAAGGTACCTGGCGGTGAGAAGAACGTGCAGGCGGTGAGGACGAGGATCCTGCCGGTGAGGACAATGTTCTTACCGGTGAGGACAAGGTTCCTGGCAGTGAGGACAGGGTTACAGGCGGTGAGAACAATGTTCCTGGCGGTGAGGGCAAGGTTCCTGACGGTGACGACAAGGTTCCTCGAGGTGAGGACAAGGTTCCTGGCGTTGAGGACCAGGTTCCTTCCGGTGAGGACAAGAATCCTGCCGGTGAGGACAAGATTCCTGGCGGGGAGGACAAGGTTTCTGGCGATGAGGACAAGCTACCTGGCGGTGAGGACAGTGTTTCTGGCGGTGAAGACAAGGTTCTTGCCGATGAGGACAAAGTACCAGGCGGTGAAGACAAGGTTACTGCCGGTGACAACAATGTTTCTGCTGTTGAGCACAAGGTTCCTGCCAGTGAGGGCCAGGTTCCTGCCGGTGAGGGCAAGGTTTCTGGTTCTGGTAGTGAGGACAATGTTCGTGGCGGTGAGGACCAAGTTCCTGCCGGTGAGACCAAGGTTCCTGGCTGTGAGGACAATGTTCATGGCGGCGTGGACCAAGTTCCTGCCGGTGAGGACAAGGTTCCTGGCGGTGAGGACAATGTTCCTGGCAATGAGGACCAAGTACCTGCCGGTGAGGACAAGGTTCCTGGCTGTGAGGACAAGGTTCTTTGGTGAGGACAAGGTTCCTGGCGGTGAGGAGAAGTCTCCTGCCAGTAAGGACAAGGTTACTGGCGGTGTCAACAAGGTTTCTGACGTTGAGGAGAAGGTTCTTTCCGGTGAGGACAAGGTTCCTGTTGGTGAGGAGAGGGTTACTGGCTGTGAGAACTTGGTTCCTGTCGGTGAGGACAGGGTTACTGGCTGTCAGAACAAGGTTCCTGTCGGTGAGGACAGGGTTACTGGCTGTCAGAACAAGGTTCCTGTCGGTGAGGACAGGGTTACTGGCTGTGTGGACAAGGTTCATGTCGGTGAGGACAGGGTTACTGGCTGTGAGAACAAGGTTCCTGGCCGTGAGGACAGGGTTACTGGCTGTGAGAACAAGGTTCCTGTCGGTGAGGACAAGGTTCCTGGCGGTAAAGACCAGGTTCCTTCCGGCGAGGACAAGGTTCCTACCGGTGAGCGCAAGGTTCCTGGCGGTGAGGACAGGCCTTCTGGCGGTGAGGACAAGGTTCCTGGTGATGAGGACAAGGCTCCTGGCGGTGAGGACAAGGTACCTGGCCGTGAGGACAAGTTTCCTACCGGTGAGTAGAAGGTATTTACCGGTGAGCACAAAGTTCCTACCGGTGAGGACAAGGTTACTGGCTGTAACGACGAGGTTCGCGGCGGTGAGGACGAGGTTACTGGCGGTGAGGTCAAGATTCCTGGTAGTGAGGCCAAGGTTCCTGGCGGTGAGGCAGAGCTTCCTGCCGGTTGGGACAAGGTACCTGGCGGTCAGGACAAGGTACCTGGCGGTGAGAACAACGTGCTGGCGGTGAGGACAAGTTTCCTGCCGTGGAGGACAAGGTTCTTATCGGTGAGGACAAGATTCCTGGCAGTGAGGACAGGGCTACTGGCGGTGAGAACAAGGTTCATGGCGGTGAGGGCAAGGTTCCTGGCGTTGAGAACAAGGTTCCTCGCGGTGAGGACAAGGTTCCTGGCGGTGAGGACAAGGTTACTGGCGGTGAGAACAAGGTACTTGACGATAAGGAGAAGGTTACTGGCTGTGAGGACAAGGTACCTGGCGGTGAGGACAAGGTTCCTGGCTGTGTGGACAAGGTTATTTACCGTGACAACAAGGTTCCTGGCGGTGAGAACAAGGTTACTGACGGTGATAACAAGGTTCCTGGCGGTGAGGACAAGGTTCCTGGCGGTGAGGACAATTAAGGCTCTTCGCGGTGGGTAAGGCTCTTCGCGGTGAAGCCAAGGTTCCTGGCGTTGAGAGCAAGGTTACTGGCGGTGAGGACAAGGCTCTTACCGGTGAGGCCAAGGTTCTTACCGGTGAGGACAAGGTTCCTGGCGGTCACAGCAGGGTTTCTGGCGGTGAGGACAAGGTTCCTGGCTGTGAGGATAAGGTTCCTGGCGGTGAAGACAAGGTTCCACGCGGTGAGGACAAGGTTCCTGGCGTTGAGAGCAAAGTTAGGGACCGCTCATTATTTATTGTACAGGGGGGGATTGAGGAGAAACTGGGGGGGCCTTTAAATTTTTCAAAACCTGAAAGGGGGGGCTTTGAAAAATACAGAGAGACGAAAGAAGGGGGCTTTGAAAATATTTACCAGTTTGAAAAACATTAGTAGTTTTAAAAATGTATCACAAAACAACTGAACAACAAATAACAATATTTATAGACTTTAATATTCATAAATGGAAGTCAAATAAAAAGTCTCTCGTGTTCATGTAAATAGACAATTCCCATTATAGACTAATTTTAGAACTAGGCAAAGAGATGCAAATCAAGGCCGGATTTGGGTGAAAATAGTGGGGGAGGTGGACAAAAATTTTAGGAGAGGTGCAGCGGTCTAGCTCACAACTCCCATGGAAAGTTAGGGCTTATTGTCGAACAGGCCAATATCAACGAGGTGAGGTATGCATGTAGTGTACATAATATGTACCAGTGTATTAATGAATTATGAATGTATGACTCCAATCTTGCCCTTCATTACAATTGCTACACTGTTTCTTTCAAAACATTGCATTAAAAGGGTGCTTGATATGGCTATCACTGTTTCAATTTTACAGAGAAAACTTTCTTATGTCACAAAGTGTAGATCCTAAGCAACCATCACATTTTCACTTTGTTCCATCATTGAAACTTTCCCAAGGGGAAGTGCATGACCTTTCAAGAGAGGTGGAAAAATTCTCAGGGGAGGTGCAAAACGATCTGTGGGGAGGTGCGCACCTCTCCACACTTCCCTCAAAATCCGGCCTTGATGCAAATAAATCACCACAGCTAGAAAAATCATACTAAAATAAGTAAATTATTGCAAAGTTTGGTTGCGAATTGTTGCAAAATACGGAAAATATAGCCTTGCAAAGTTTGCAAATTTTGTACACTTTTGTATTGCATGCGAAAATTGCAATTATACAAAAGAATACAAAATTTGCAAACTTTGGAAGGCTATATTTTCTACATATTTTACAACATTTTGCAACCAAACTTTGGAATTTTACTAATTTTAGTATGCCCTTCCTGGGAATATACTTTTTTTGCTAAGATAAAAAATTAGTCTATAATGGGAATGTCTATTGGTCCCCATTACCTATTTTTCTTTCTCTAAAATAAACAGCTAGAGTTTTTGTTTCTCTAAATAAAGATAAAGAGCTAGAGGGGGAGGGGGCAAATTTATGTTCTTGTTTTGCCTGTTCGGGGGGGGGGGCATTGAAAATTTTACTTGTCTTAAGAGGGGGGTAACGAAAAAATATTATAACTGTAGAGTTTCTCCTCAGTCCCCCCCTGTACAATAAATAATG